AACCCCCCCCCCCCCCCCCCGCGTTAAGCGACAATTAAATTGTGTTGTATCATATTATTTCAAATTAATGTGAAAAGCCCCTCATCCGTAACACAATCAATTTAGTTAATTATGTCGAATGACCTAACACTAGTTTATGTCTGTTTAGCGCGAGCAATTACTTTTAATCCAATTCACATCCACAAAAAGTAAAATATAGGTCAAAACCATCCCGGTCAATATATGAAAAAGAATTAAGAAAATCATATTTTATAATCCTAAGTCTCTCTCTTAGTACAACAAACTCGAGAAATAAAAAAAAATGATAATCTCAAAAAACATAGGATGTCAAATTACTTCACAATTCTAATCAATAAATTCTGCCATCATTGGTCTCTCTTCATCCTCGTAATCTCGATCACTTAAATTTGTTAGCACATAAAACCATCTTGCTTCATCCTAGAGTGGTCAAATGCAGATTGCCAAAGTTAAGGTTTAAGAATAAATAAAAACATGACGTAGATGTCTACCAAAGTCAAATGAAATTGGACCTCAAAAGCAAAGAAACTACTATGAGTGACGACCAAAAAAAAAAAAAAACTGCACTTCATAATGCTATTGTCTCCCAAAGCCGAAACAAATTGTCTGGTCCTGAACGCATTGCGTTACTTGTAAAAAATGAACAAAAAAATCTCCAAAGCAACAACACATATACAAATACATCAGGGAAAAAAAATACTGAGAGAACTATATCAGATACAATCATAACCAGCTCAATGTGTTATAATATAGTACCTAAAGGCAATGACTAACACAAAAAATAATTAGTGAATAGAAAGAAATAAGAAAATCACCGATCGACATGGATATAAATTCCAAAAACAATTGAGTCACCTTTTGAATCTACTGAATTCATAAAAATCCTATTGTCCAAATTTTCTGAATTCAAAATAAAAAAATCATGCGCATGGTTTCCCAAAAAAAAATCAGCCAAATACTATTTATACTCTATGGCATTTGATCAAATGCCTTACAGGCGTTGTGCGATGTGAGTGTGCTAGGAGAGAGAAGCAGTGACAAAAGAGAGAGAGGAGAGTGAAGAAATAAAATCCCGAGTGAAGAATTGAAATTATCCCAATGTCACGTATGAAACAATATATCTGCATCAATATATCAGTGCCTAAAGGTTCTAAAAAAAAAAAAAAAAATGCAAATAGTTGTTAATGACTAAAGGTTCTATACAACCAAAAAAAAAAAATCTTCAATTACAGTAAATAAAAAAGAGAGACAACTAGACTAAAAGTTGATTGTCAATAAACTTGCAATTGTCATTGAAGTAAATCTAAAAACATTTTGTCCACAAATACCTCTTCAATCAAGCATACCTCTCAAGCTTCCATGATATTTCTTCGAACACACTCGACTATCACAAATTCTTTTCTCCTATCATAAAACATTAGTTAATCAATTTAATAATCAAAACCTCAAACATTGAAAAAAGATATGCCCATTTGTTAGAAAAGAAATACTGAGAGAACTATATCAGATACAATCATAACCAGCTCAATGTGTTATAATATAGAACCTAAAGTCAATGAGTAACACAAAAAAAAAAAAAACAGTGAATAGAAAGAAATAAGAAAATCACAGATTGACATGGGTATAAATTGCAAAAAATAATTGAGTCACTTTTTATATCTACTAAATTCATAAAAATCCTATGGTCCAAATTTTCTGAATTCAAAATCAAAAAATCAACATCCAATCTAGTATAAATTCTTCTTAGCAACAATATACCATTATATCACTCGTATGTGCGCATACTGTCATTTTTGACTTTTTCCTCTTCACTATGTGTTATTGCTTTGGAGAGTTTGTCCTGATATAATCTCCAACATTCAGGTTATTCAAATGAATATCGATGGATCTGCTCGCAGACAGATTGCTCAAGAACTCAAAATTAATCAATCATCACAATGTCAAAATGTTGTGGTGTGTTACCAGTCCTTTTATGAGAATGGTGCCATTTCTATAATCTTGGAGTACATGGACGGGGGTTCTCTACCAGATTTCTTGAAACATGTCAAAACAATTCCAGAACCTTGTCTTGCTGCCATCTGTAAGCAGGTGGGAAGTATTCATTCCACATTTTTGGCCAAAGGAAATATATAGTAGTCATTAGCATTAACATACTTCACATGGTTCCTTTTTTGTTTCTTTGTTCTTTTCTTTTTAATTCAGGTGCTCAAGAGGAAGTGGTACCTTCAGCATGAAAAACATATCATTCACAGGGACTTAAAACCTTCTAATTTATTGATAAATCACAGAGGGGAAGTCAAAATCACTGATTTTGGTGTAAGTGCAATAATGGAGAGTACCTCTAGACAGTCTAACACTTTTGTGGGGACATACAACTATATGTTTGTGAGTAATTTATGCATACATGTTATATGCACAAAAGTACAATTTAAATTCATATTTTATATGAGTTTTCTCCTCGTGCAAAAAACTATTTATACTCTGTGGCATTTGATCGAACGCCTTATAGGCGTTGTGCGATCTGAGTGTATTGGGAGAGAGAAGCAGCGAGAAAGAGAGGAGAGTGGCCGCAGAGAAAGAGAATTGCTATCTAACAAAAAATTTGATAAAACTACCAACAAAGAAGCGTTAAATTATAGGAATTTTCAGCAAACCAAAACTCAGAAATTTCAGCGAGAGAGAAATAGAGAATTTTAGCGTGTACCTGGAATCAATTGGAGCAACGGAGAATTACAGCAAGGAGTCCGAGCGGTATGGGCAGTGGAGAGAGAGTCAGCAACGGTTTGTGTGTGTGAGTGTTTTTATGTGTGTTTTCTGCGTAGAGAGAGAGAGAGAAAAGAGGCGTGATTGAAAAAGGAGACTGAGTGAGGGAGGGAGGGAGGGAGAGAGAGAGACATTGTATGAGTGTGAGAGAGAAGTACACGAGCAATAGAGTTGTATATGAGAAGAAAGACTTGCTCAAATTTTTGAACGGAGAAAAATAAATTCAAACATCAATTAGGATTACATAATCAAAATTTTAAAAAAAAATGTTGCTAGGCAGGAAAAAAAATTTAATATTCATTGTAGATGGTTTGATCAAATTTTTGAGATGTTCTGAATCATTTTTTATGTTTAGATTACATTATTCATTGGATGTGTTTATGTTTTGTCTCAAAACGATCTGAATCTCTTTTTATCTTTTGGATTCAAACTTCAATCTACTTTATTATATAGATTAGTTGGCATCCCATGCGATGCAAGTAATTTACCTCTCCTGCCATCACCCTATTTCACCTTTTTTAACCATCATTTTATTAAAAGTTTGTTGATTAGTGAATTAAAATATTATTTGTTAAATGTAAGAAAAGTGAAGGAAGATGATCAAATTTTAAAAGATAGTGAGATATGCAATGAGTAGTAAATGAGCCAAATTGAAGAATTTGATTGGAGGGGTTAATTAAATATTTCATATATTATAATTAAAGCTATAGAAGAGTTAAAGTTTATTTTTAAGGTAAATTATAATTTACACCCTTTATCATATACACAATTCTTATTTGGTCATTAATGCACCAATTGCAACAATCAAGTACCTAGAGTTTTAATTGAGTTTCAATTTATTTTTAAATAAAAATTCATTGGAATAACATTCTATGACCAACACATAACTTGGGTAAAATGATATATTTGTCTGGTAAAAAATTTGTAACCTGTACGCTAAAAAACTTTACTCTCTTCATTTAATTTTAAGAAATAAAAAAAAATGAGCAATGTTATTGAGACATAATTTAAGAACTTATTGATTGTGACCATTAGATTGTCGAAAAGTCTCAATATTAAATTATCACTGTATCCCAACACTATCAATCCAACAATTATAATGCATTAAGTCTCTAAATTATGTCAAAATAGTATTAGTGTTATTCAAATGTTAACTTAAATTTAAGGGTTTTTCATACTTTGCACCCTATTTTTTTTTTTTTTAATTTTCACTTTGTATATTTATAGATTTAATTTTTTACATTGTACCCTTAATATATCAAAAGTATTGTAATGCTACTCTTCTGTTAATTTTCATTAATTATTTCGTCAAAAGTCAATTTATTGACACTAAAAAAAATTAATGAAAAGTTAATAGAAAANACTCTTCTGTTAATTTTCATTAATTATTTCGTCAAAAGTCAATTTATTGACACTAAAAAAAATTAATGAAAAGTTAATAGAAAAAAAATATTGTAATATTTTTTATATGTCGAAGGTGTAATATAATAAATTTAATTTTCAAAAATATAAAATAAAAACTTTAAAATCTTTTAAGATGTAAAATGCAATTTGCCTTAAACTTAAATTTGAGTCAAGATTAGTAGAGATTTATTTATTTTTTTTGAATAGTCAAGACTAGTAGAGATGAAGTTATATTGTTAAGGATAAAATAGTCTTAAAAACAAAATGAGTATTTTTCGGCCTCTTTACTTTTATTACACAGAAAGCTAAAAAGTCTTGCGTCGCTCTATAACAAAATCAAGATCCTCTCTCTTTCTCTCTCTGTCTAAATTGTGACGTTCACGAGCAAGCACAAATTTGTTTAATGTTCATATTCAATTCAATCGAGCCAAAACCCTAATAAAATTGGAGAGACAGACAGAGAGTTGATGAATCTTGAAGCAGCAAACTGAGAGAAATAGACGAGTTTTGGTATTTAGTGGATGGTCTCATGGGTGCGGCGGGTTCGAGGCTCGAGAAAGCTCTCGGAGACCAGTTTCCAGAAGGCGAACGATACTTCGGCCTCGAGAATTTCGGAAACACTTGCTACTGCAACAGCGTTTTGCAGGTGTAGACTCGATTCCTTGGTTTTTTTTTTTTTGTTGTTGTTGACGTAACTGTGGATTTCTGATTAATGTTTGGTGATTTGGGTGGTCTTTATTGCCAATTGGGTATCTATGTATTGATGGGCTCCTTGGATTGTGATGATTTGAAATCAGATGTCTTTGTTTGATTTTTTATATTGGATTGATCGAGTTTTGAACTCTTGTAGTGTACCCTACCCATAAACCCAGCTTGAAAGTGAACGCATAGATTCATTGTTGATTGAATATTGATGCCCTGCGTAAAAGGGCAAGTCCTGTTTATCTCAATTTTTGTGTGATTATTAAGTTATTGCCAATTTTAGTCATACTGGGTGTCTGGTAGTTAGGGGGTATATGGGATTATCCCACCACCAAGGCCCCAGCTTGTTGAAGAGCTTATGTGGGACTGCCTTGCGTACTTATTAGTAGTGTCTTTTTCTCTTTTGTTTCGGTAATTCGTATGAATTAAGGATTATTGGGCATTAGTGATTGACTTGAGTTGCTTTTCATGTTCTGTAAGCTCATCCAGGNCTCAAAGTAGAAATGAATGCCTCCGATTGAACTAATGGGGGTGTCTTAGTGCAAGAAGATCGTCTGATAACTTGCAAAAGCTGGAAATGTAATGAGATGAAACAATGTTTAGTGTTCACAAAAAGGAAATGACTGCTTTAATACATTACTTGCGGCTTTGGAGACATTATATATTGGGTGGGAAGCAAAATGTGGGTCAACGGGCTAAATCAAGAGAGAAAAATGTTAACTCAATCTAAACTGACCCCACCTAAGTGTGGGTCATCGGGCCCAAATTTTTCAGGCCTACAACGCACCCGTGGGATGAGACTTGATAAGTCAATGGCTAGCTCGGGGTTTCCCATGGGGCAATGGCTAAATGCTGAACTTTATCCTCAATCTCTAAAGGTTTTGTTTGCTTTGAAGTATTAGGAAAGAGGACTTGGAAAAAAAATATGTTTGGGGTCACCTTATTCTACTTATATTTATGTTTAGATATATATTTTGGATCCAATATTATCACTTAAAAATACTTTGGCTCGGATGAACAGTGCTTCTAAACTCACATATAGCCTCCTAAATAAACCAACCTATTTGACGGGTTTAAATACTCCGATTGGAAAGTATTTGTTCAAAACACATTTTTACCCTGAAGAATTTCTAGGATATAAATATCACATTTTATCTTAAGAGTTCTTTAGTAATTTAATGTTTATATTATCATTCAATATTTCATCTAANTATCTTAAGAGTTCTTTAGTAATTTAATGTTTATATTATCATTCAATATTTCATCTAATCAAAGTATTGGATGAAATAAATGTGAAACTCATTACTTTTTAATATTTTAACCAAACATCAAATGAGGATACATTATCACTATAATTAATCCAATGGCCNATCTTAAGAGTTCTTTAGTAATTTAATGTTTATATTATCATTCAATATTTCATCTAACCAAAGTATTGGATGAGATAAATGTGAAACTCATTACTTTTTAATATTTTAACCAAACATCAGATGATGATACATTATCACTATAATTAATCCAATGGCCGGATAGATGGGTATGAGATGGACAAGTTTGTCCAATTCGATCATTCCTAATGATTGAAAAAAATAATGGTGGGCCCAACTTATCCCTCTTTTTTTTTTGTTTTATTTTTTTTTAGGAGGAGAATTGAACATTTAATTTCAAGAAGACAATTTTTTCAAAATAAGGAATATCATTTAACCAAAGACCCATTTATTATCTTTTTTATACTCATGTTTGGATATACATTTTGGGTCCGATATTATCACCTTGAATCAATATGATGAATAGCATATTTAATACCACCTTTTTTGTGGATTTTTTTTTTGNATTTCAAGAAGACAATTTTTTCAAAATAAAGAATATCATTTAACCAAAGACCCATTTATTATCTTTTTTATACTCATGTTTGGATATACATTTTGGGTCCGATATTATCACCTTGAATCAATATGATGAATAGCATATTTAATACCACCTTTTTTGAGGATTTTTTTTTTTGTGAGTAATTTTTTTTTTTGTGGATTTAAAATCTAATTAGGATATATGAGGACAAAATATATTTGTACCCTCAAGAATCTATAAGATATAAATATCACTATTTATCTCGAGTGTTTTTTTAGTAATTTAATATTTATACCATTATTCAATACTTCATCCAAACAAAGTATTTGATGAGATAAATATAGGGTCTACTACTACTTAATACTTAAGCCAAATATGGGATGCGAATGCATTATCATTATAATTAGTCAAAGAGTCAGATGGATGGGTACGAGATAGACGAATTTATTCAATTCAATCCTTTCGAATGCTTTAACCAGACACAACCTAAAATGACAATTCTACGTGAGGTACTTTCATNACTACTTAATACTTAAGCCAAATATGGGATGCGAATGCATTATCATTATAATTAGTCCAAGAGTCAGATGGATGGGTACGACATGGACGAATTTATTCAATTCAATCCTTTCGAATGCTTTAACCAGACACAACCTAAAATGACAATTCTACGTGAGGTACTTTCATATTTGAATATGATTGCAGTTGGTCAATAAACTCCCTTTCATACGACATTAATTGACTTATTTTTTAAGTGTATGTTTTGTATATAAATACTTACAATTGAAAAAAAAAATTAAAGAAACAAATGTTATCTAATAACAAAAATTCATTTTAATATAAAGTAAAGTAGATTCCAAATTTATAGAATACTAGAAATAGCCCGTACTTGAAGACTCTATGTATTAAACAAAGAAATCACAAATAATTATTTGTGCGTTAAGGCAATGTATAACACACAAAAAAAAAATGACTAAATACAAATGAGAAACCCCCCCCCCCCCCC